AAAAAAATAGCGGTGTTAAACGGCTCGATTCGAAGAACCGGTTTTTAAAAACGGTTAGCTCCGATATTTTAACCCGGAAGATATCGCCCAAGCCTCAAGATTTCGTTTAATAGATGGTTAGCTAGCGGAACACCTTTTCAAGATAGAATATTGAGTTTGCCGTTCAGAAAATTTGTTCCCAAATCTAGCCATTTAAACAACACTACTGGCATAATGCCGCTTTTTCATTCATTCTTTATCACCCCGGAAATTGCATTGCATACCCCCTAGGAATTGAAGAGGTGCATCGCACATTTTTCGCCAGTATATAGACCCCGTACATTATTATCTATCCTTTTTTCGCTATAAGAGGGCAGTATCTCTACGCGGTTCGTTAGCGTTGTAAGAATGAAGCTAAGCGGAACGGTAGAGATTATTGGTTTTCCTTTGCTTGTGGCCAAGATTAGTAAGAAGATAAATTTTATGTTTGAGATTCTGTTATGGATTTAATCCCGAAAAATGTGCCTTTAATATTTTGTTAACTTATAATCCACAAGGAAAAGAAAAGGTTCGAACTCCCGAATCGAGAAAAATAATTTTAATATGATGGGTAATCAAACGGCTAACTCGATATTTTAGCAAGAAAAATATTGCCTGAGACTCGAGATTTCGCTGATATCTAAACCTTTGTGTCATCCAGGGATTCGAACCGAATCAACCCGGAGAAGACACCCCGGGTTTTTGAAAAAAAATTTGTACCCGAATCGAACCCGAGAATTATATTTAAACCCGGGTTCAACCGGGTTGTTCGAAAATATTTCCGCGAACCGAACCCACCTATTTCTTAAACCTAACCCGAACCGAACCTAGGCAAAATTTTTTGCCGGTTTCGTATCCTTGGTGCCATCTATCAACAATATCTTCGGGCTAGCTTAATATTTTTTCTGGATGAAATATTGAGTTAGCTAAATATCGACTCAAGCCGTTTAACAACGCTAGTTAATCATAATTAATAATTCTAATGGATTTTATATATAAAAATGTCAAATATATTCTGATAAGCTGGTGTTTAAATCTAATTACATAAAATTAAAAAATATTTAATATATATTTTTTTTTAAATAATCTCTTAAACCTAATAATGTACCGTAGGCCGACTATTGTAATGTTCTATCTCCACTTTTATTTTTTGATTAGATGAATTGAATTCTACACTGTTACCACTAACCTAACATTCTTTTTATATCCACATTAAAAATTTAATCGTGAAATATATCATTTTGCATTATTTACGTTGATCATCCACAAATTCAAAATGGAGGAAATATTTTGTTGTTTTTTAAAAAAATAATAAAAACATAGAACAGTATAATACTCAACCGACGAGGCATCATAATAGGAAATGATTACATAAATTTTTTTGGCGGACTATACTACCTCCACAGGCAAATTTATTATTCGAAGCACGCATTCATATTTTTTATTACATTAAACATCTGTTTCTTTTCTTTTTTTCCTAAGCGGAAATTTATAAAAATGAAAAAAATTGTTTGTTTTAAATCATTTAATTGATTTTGATTATCTGTTAGTGCTTGTTAAAATTAATCCGTTAACTTTGGGCCAACTATCAATATGGCTTCTTACCCGAGCGTTCCGTTTTAGAAATACGGCTATAACTGTAGTGACGATACTAAAACCGCTCTATTTGAGTCGATTTTTTTAATAAAAAACGGTTAATACTCATCGATATTAGCCAGCCAGATAAGCATTGCCTCACGCTCCGTCGAGATTTCCGCCAATAGATGTCACAAACGTTTTGTGCCCATCTGCGATCAAAATTTTTCGGGCTTGCCTTAAACGCCGTAATTACTTATCAAGAATCGCGTTACTTTTTAATTTTTAAATTATAATAATTTAAAAAAAAAAAATTAATATTATAATTTTTAATTTTTTTATTTAAAAAATAACCTTGACGAATTAATTCTATAGAATAAAATGTGGAAAAAAAATAATATAAACGAAGCCTGGTCAAAAAATAAAATTTTCAAAAATAAATGGAAATAAAGGATCATAAAAACTTTATTTGTCATGTTTGTATTCCTTTTGATCTGACAAACTCGGCTAAAAAAAAATTATTATTTTATTTTTAAAAATTAATTAAAAAAAAATAATAATAATATAAAATCGCGTTATTTTATTAATTTTTTTTTTTATATATCTTCATTATATTTTTGACAAAGTGACAAGTTGACGTCAGAGTTTTGACATTCGGACATTTACAAAGAAGAAATTTTTTTTTTTTGAACAATAAATAAATCACTTTTATAAAAAAAAATAATTTTTGAAACAATGAGTAATAAAAATAAAATAAATTTCAACTTTTCTTCAAAAATTTCGTTCTTCGACGATCCCTAGAAACTTTGAAGTAGGTTCCATTTCCTGTTTCCCAAAAATTTAATTCCGATATGCTGGTAAAAAAAATAACGAATAGCTTCTCGCTCTCCCTCCCTCTCTCTTAAAAAAATGCCGTTACTATATACGATACTTTTGTATCCATTCGATACTTTTACGACACCGATTATTATTTAATACATTATCAATATATAATTACTTTAACTCCATATTCCCCATCTCTCTTTCTTTACTTTTCTTTTTACTCCTTTATACATATATAAATATTATTTTTTTTTCTTTTGTCATAAGTTTGACATACATATATACATACCTAGTAAAGATATTAAAAAAAATTGTTATTATTATTATTTATACCTTTAATTACCCCTTTTGTCATTTCAAAATATTCCACTTTCTTCTAGAAGTTAGCTTAATAAATTTAAATTTAAATATATAATATATATAAAATGTATGTTACTAAAAAAAAAATATTAAATAATATTGTAATCAAAAGTTTAACCAAAAATTAATTTTCCTCGTGTGTAAATAAATAATATATTTTGATAGAGATAACAGGTTAAAAAATAATTTTTAAATCCCAAATTATTGTTAACACGCACGGAAGAAACACAAAAAAAAGTATCATGGCGGCCGACAAATTCAAAAAATTATTTAAAAAATTTGTTTTAAATTTATTTTCGTGTGTCGGAGAAAATTATGGAAAAAATTTTTTATTTCGTAAAAAATGATTAAAAAGATTTAATCGAAAGAAATAGAACTGGAAAAAGGATTGAAATGAATGTGTGTCAAAATGTGATCATTATATATATTTATTTTTATTTTTTAAATTGTCTAGTGGAGAGTTAAAATGTAATGTATAAAAAAGTAAAATATGACCTCTTTTATTTTTTGTTGTTCAAGTTAGAGGAGTTAGTGATGATTAGGCGAATGCTCAAGTCTAAAACTAGCCTTTTATCATTATTTTTTTGTTTGTTTATTTGTTTATTAACCTTTTATATATTATTTATTTATTTTTTCCCACCATAAATTAAAAAAAATTTTATACCGGTGTTTTGAGAGGAACAAAAACGTATTAGATTTATTTTTTAATATTTCTCGCGTACACCCAATATATATTTCATTTGTAATGACGATTTTTAGTTTATCGCGAATGTGGCGCTGGCGGGAAATAGGTCCGTTAACCGGAACCGGTTAAGACCGTTCCATAAATCGGATTTTTTATTTTAAAGACAGTGGTCACTAGCTGTATTTAGGTCTAGTTTAGACGCTAACGGAAATATAGTTGCCCTCACCCCCCCCCCCTCCGTTAACCCGTTCCATTTTAATCTTATTCCAAAACTTTTTTCATCCTCAAGAATATTAAACCGGAAAAAAAAATCTTAGCTTTCCTCTAGGCTTAGTTGATTTTCCGATTTCCGCAGCATCATTAATGTAGGAGGAGGGAAGTCCCCTAGCCAGGAATCTTGCCCCCTCCCGACCACCACCGCTAGATTCGGAGGGTTATGGTCATCGACTCGTGAAGGGCCCATATAAACCTGGTTCACTTTGCCCCAGGATCTTAAAAGTAAAATATAAATATCCCACCAAGTTGTCGAATATTTCTTATTTTTTGGTAGCAGGGGAAGGGGGGAGAATTCAACAAAATTTAACCTTTTTAGAAAAAAAAAAATTTATAATGAAAATGAAAGCAAATAAAAAAAAAATTGAAGATATTATAAATAATTATAATTATATTTAATTATTTTAACACGATTTCGCTAAAAACTTTCTTTTACGTATGAATAAATCGAAGC